AGCATAGTAATGAGAGAGATATGAAGAATAAGAGATTTGATCATATAAACATCTCCACACAACTAACAGAAGACAACACACACACACACACACAAGAACAAAGTCTGAGCTTACCCTCCATGCATTGCTGCCTCTGTCAGCATAGAGCAGGAGAAAAGAGAGAAAATGAAAGAGAAATGAAAGGGGTAAAGCAGTTCACAGTGGAGTGATTCCAAAGCTGCTCTCCTCCCTCCACGAGCACCAAAAACATGACTTTCCGCTGCTCGCTCTCTCTCTACTCCCTCATGACGATGGTGATTCACTGGAATAAACTGTGGTGTAAGTGTGAATAACTGAGCAAACACTCACCTTCCTGATCACTGCAGGACTGAAGGAGGATCCACGTCAGCCGGACGACTTTTATTAAGCCTTGAACTCCTGCACAGAGACAAAGAAGAGTTCTGTTAGGAGAAACGCTACCTGTGCCCAGCCAGAACCAGGAAGTGAGAATTTCATCGGTCAGGCACACACACACACAAACTTTTATCTCATGCAGAAAAATAAGGTTATCATTTTCCATTTTTATGTAAGCTAGGAGTTTAAAAATTAACTGATTATTTATTTTCCTTTTTTGTGAACAAACAATGTTTGTTATATTATAATGTGTTAGCGAAATGTGTCCTGAGCAAGCTGTGTACCCAACATCCCCCCAATTACAGTGTTTGTGAGTCACTTTCATAAGGCAAACATTGACCCACTGGCTAGTCAGCTAGTAAGAGTGAGCAGTCGTGCACGTCTGAGTGGACACTCCAGCAGCTGGTCAAGCATGACTACAGGACACCTGCATTATTCATGGTTCTAGTGTTCTACATTAAAAACGTATATCGAAAACAGTCAGATCTACATTGATGTGATGCAGCTGTGACACAAAAGAGTTTATAGATCACTGACCCAGATTTGAGTACAGCTGTGGTCGTGACAGATCCCATCCCAACTTTAATTAAATAAATAAATTGTAAATGAAATAAATTAGACAAATGCATGAATTCTTATTTGTTCCATAAATAATAATAATAAATGTTTTTTTTCCTCTAATTTATGTCAGTACCAAAAACAAGAAAGCTTAAAATGCAATGAAATACAATAAATAAACTCTGTTTGTGCTTAAAAGCAGTCATACACAATAAAAAGTCATTGCGAGTCATAAACACAATAAAAATGTTGTATTAGTGAAGAAAGTTGTATTATACTGTGCATTGGGGGTGCACAATGCATGAAAATAAAACCGAAATCATAATATGGCTTTATATTAAATTAAATAAATAAATGAGCTGTATCTTTCAAAATGAAGAACATAAAACAATTATGGTTTAACATTTGAATAAGAGGAAATTAAGACAGCCACAAATATTATATTGTAAATACTGTAAAGCTGTAATTCAAAAAAAAATTGTTAGCATTTTTTTCTTAAATACTTGTTTTTTATTTTACAGTAACATTACAATAGTAGGCTATTTCTTATTGTTTTATTTAATACTAATAATTATTATTATAATACTTAACAGCAACAATACTAATAATATTTAATAATATTAATACTACTATTATTATTATTAGCCATTGATAATATATCACAAAACTTTGACCAAACTGTGCAGAAAACCTAGAATTTGCTTTACAATTGCACTTTAAATTTGCAATTGCAATTTTTATTAATCTATAAATCAATAAAGAAACAAGCAAATACATTTTTCCCCAAATTGTGCCGCATTTTCTGCATAGCACTGATTTAGCAAAATTGTCTGTATTAACTTTAGATGTTAAAACTTCATGTACAAGAGCACCACATGTGGTCAGTGACTCCATCAGCGTGACTTTAACAGCCAGTCACAATAAAGTTCAAAGGTCAGACAGAGATCAACATCAGGTCAATGAAGACCCCTAAAGCATTAAGCTAGATTATTTTTGTGTGTGTGTTTCCGTGACGACTTTGTCCTCCGTTTGACCCCAATGCAGAGAACACGTCTTTGCATGACCCATAAAAAAAAGTTGAAAATAGAACGAGATGAAAGAAAGAGGAAGAGGAAACAGTAGCTACTGAGACTTCCTGCTTCCCTCTCTCCTTCTGAGCATGCTCAAAAAAAGTGCTTGAGCTTGACCTCAGCTGGAAGGAGAAATCAACAGCGCTGGAGTTTTACAGCAGAAGAAAGAAGCTAAGAAAATGAATTCATGAGGCGATTCGGTTGAGTGGACGGTCAAATCTTTAACAGCAACAGGTGAAAGCAAGAGTCTACTGATTTTTCACTATTAAGAGTGAAAGTTGCTGTATTTAAACACATTACTGCATCTGAAAACAGTAAAAGATCAGTGTTTACACATTAACGGTTTTCATTAACATTAAAGGGTTAGTTCACCCAAAAATTTAAATTAGCCCATAAATTTCTCACCCTCAAGTCATCCTAGGTGTATATGACTTTCTTCTTTCAGACGAATCCAGTCGGGAGTTATATAAAAAATTGTCTTTGATCTTTCAAGCTGTTTAATGCCACTCAGCGGGTGTTGCATGCATCAGTCCAAAAGAAGTTAAATAAAAAGCGCCCATCCATTAAAAATAAAAAGTGTCTCACACGGCTCCGGGGGGGTGAACAAAGGCCTCCTGTAGCGAATCGATGCGTTTTTCTAAGAAAAATATCCATATTCAAAACGTAATAATCACTTTAAAGTAGCTTGCGCTCACAGTCCTACACGGAAGCAGCTTCGGGCTGATGACGTATGAGTTCAGCATTGCACATGTGCCGGTGAGTCTCGTGAAAACCAACGTTTGTGTCATCCTCCCGGAGCTGCGTCCATGTACAACTGTTGGCGCAAGCTACATTAAAGTGATTATTACGATTTGAATATGGATATTTTTCTTACAAAAACGCATCGATTCGCTACAAAAGGCCTTTGTTCCCCCCCCCCGGAGCTGTGTGAGACACTTTTTTTTAATGGATGGGCACTTTTTATTTAACTTATTTTGGACTGATGCATGCAACACCCGCTGAGTGGCATTAAACAGCTTGAAAGATCAAAGACCATTTTTAATATAACTCCCGACTGGATTCGTCTGAAAGAAGAAAGTCATATACACCTAGGATGACTTGAGGGTGAGTAATTTATGGGCTAATTTTCATTTTTGGGTGAACTAACCCTTTATCACAAGCCCAGGTGACCAAACACTTACATTTAAAAAGTGGATGAATTTCACAATGCATGTCAAAAATAAATAAATAAAAACATTTCTGGATCATATTTCAACCCCAAAATATTAATTGTATATTTCATAATGAAATTTAAGCCTATTATTATTTCGATTTTTTTTCAGTGCTGTCATTATTTTAATTAAAATTACATATTTTCATGAATTCGTTTTAATGCAATAAATTTATAACAATCAAAATAAAATGTATAAATAATATAAAATATTATTATTATTAATCTGGATTCCTGAAAATATAATTTTACTATTATAAATAATAAATGTAATATGTTTAAATAAAATTAAATAAATATAACATCAATAATTGAATGTGCTAGTCATGAAAAGTGCAAACGTCTCAATGCAGAAAACTAATGACAGTCTTTTTCTACAGCTTACAACTCTTTTAAGCAAAACGACAGTTCATACGGTCCATAACAACCAAAGGACAAGACAACACCATCAAACAACCCTTAAGACTAAATTCAAAGTCAGATCAAGTGGTCAGTATGAAAATACTGTGTCTCCTTGTGTTGCACAGAAGAAAGAAAGTCATACAGGTTTATAGTGACATGAGGATGAGTATAAGATTACAGAATATACATTTCATTATTCCTTTGTAGTGTGTATGCTACTTTTGATTGACATATATGCCAAGTCTTTATTTGATAAACTTACCTTTTGATCATTAAAGGGCACAAAGCTGGAACCCTTTGTTTAAACTCAAACAAACACATGTACACACACGTCTCAGAGCTTGTTTGCATAAGGGTTGAGTAAGGTATCCATAATGAATAACGAACATATGCAAATTCTATAGGTAATAGGAAGAGGGCACGATTTTAAAGACAAAAACAGATGAGACAAAGGGAACGGAAAGAACTTTGCAGAAGTGACAATGGCCCCAAACTAGGAAACAACATCATTCAGTATCTGAATCACTGCTGACATACACAAAAGACGAAATCAAAAGCTTTTAATAGAGTTCACCTCTGATTAGTTCATGCATTTCACAATATTCAGAATCTGAGGCAAATAAAGAAAGGGTACGGGAAAGAAAAAGCGTGATTAGATCATCTCTGAACCTCTTTCCACTGTGACCTTTACACGTAAACACTGAAGATGACACACAAACCTATTTTCAAAACATACTATTTCATGTGCATTGCCTGACAGACAACTTTTGTTCATTTTCTTTCCCCCATAATAACCGTTAAACTGCGCATAAACATGTCTGTGCAAGCGAAACAATGAGTTTTAAAGGTACATAAGGCCAAATATGTTGCTGGCATGTGGCGGAATTAAAATGCCTGAATATTTTCATCATAAAATCATGTATAACATGGTCCAGAACCAGAATACACAATCGCAATACGACCCAATACTGGTCTGTGGTTTCAGCTGCTTTGAAACAATCTAAAGCACAAACACAAACAAACCAGCCACGCGCTGCTCTACTTACTCTCGCGAGAATCCCTCGGAGCTTCGGCGCAGACAAAAACACTCGCCGCGAGTGTCGAGATTTGCACTTTTACACTGTATACGTGTGTGTATAACACGGGGAATTTCTATAAAACAAACTTGAACGCTAAAAATGAACGAGTCCGCGTTCTCTCGGTCGCATCCGGCGGGGAGGAGCAGAGCGCGCAGACGGCTTTTGTTCGGCGAGCTAGCTGGTGCGTGACGTCACGCAAGGCCAGTGCGAGCTGATTGGCCGCGTCGACGCGAGGGCGGTGACGAGAGCACGAACGCTCCGCTAGTGATGATTACGTAACTTGCATTACTTGTAATGAGTTACCCCCAACACTGCACCTGAAAACTAACTAACTGGAGGAATGGATTGGACTCGATGGAAAATGCTTTTTCATATGAAGCACTAAAGAGTTTGAATGTCTAAAACTCTCTCCACACTGAGTACAGCTGTACGGCTTCTCTCCGGTGTGAATCCGTTCATGTGATTTCTGTTGTGAGAACTGAGGGAATCTCTTGTCACAGTATGAGCACTTGTAAGGTTTTTCTCCAGTGTGAATTCTTTGGTGGTATTTCAGTTGGCCAGCTGTAGTAAAGCTCTTTCCACACTCACTACACACGTGATCTTTCTCACCGGTGTGTATTTTCTGATGCCGATTACAACTGACCAACAGTGGAAAACTCTTCCCACAATAAGAACACACATAAGGCCTCTCGTTTGTATGGTTTATCAGGTGTTTTTTCAGATTTGATGATGAATTAAACTCTTTACCACACTGATCACAGTTAAATGGCTTTTCTCCAGAGTGAACATGCATGTGATAATTGAGAATAGATGATTGTTTGAAACTCTTTCCACACTGAGTACATTGGTACGGCTTCTCTCCAGTATGCACTCGCTCGTGTGATTTCAGGTTTCCAGGATGAGAGAAGTTCTTGTCACAGTATGAGCACTTGTAAGGTTTTTCTCCAGTGTGAATTCTCTGATGCTGCTTCAGCTGTCCAACTGTAGTAAAGCTCTTCCCACACTCACAACACACGTGATCTCTCACTTCATTGTGTATTTTCTGATGCTGATTACAACAGTTAAGCCGAGAGAAACTCTTTCCACAGACAGAACACACATAAGGCTTCTCATCTGAATGAAGCTTCAGGTGAACTTTTAGATTTGATAACGAGGAATATTTTTTACCACACTGATCACAGTTAAACAGCTTTTCTCCAGAGTGGTGCCACATATGATTTCTGAGACCTGATTTAAGTCTGAAACTCTTTCCGCACTGTGAGCAGGTGTGCCGCTTTTTGGATTTTATTCTTTGAGTTTTGAAGTTACAACACTCCTCCTCCTCATTTAGTTCTTGTCTTTGCTCTTTCACCTCCATCCGATCTAAAATAAACATATTAAATAGTTAAAAACAGTTCAAGTGAACCTGATTTAAGAGCAGAAAGCAACAGTAGGTCTGTAAGTATCAGATTTTTGTAGTGCCAATGGTTAGTTCTGTCATTTGCTTGATAATACGATCAAAGTGTGGATGACAACTGCTATAGTTATGATGCATTTTCTGTATCATTTATCACTGATATATTGCTTATTATTTCACTGACACTACATCTGGTAAACATAAGCTTTACCTTTATGTTTCTCAGCCGTCAATAATAAAGACTCAAGAACAGACACCAACCTGTTCGTTCCTCAGCATCTTTATTATTCATTCCGGATGTTTCTGGATCGCTCATGTTATCAATCTCCTCTTTAATAAACTCCATCTTTACCATAGTGTGCTACAGAGCTAGAGTTCCTCTTCTGATGGGATGATGGGAATATTGCTAACCTTCACTGGTGGACTGTTGTGGGATGAGCACCAGATCTACCAAATTCAGAAACAATTTACACTGAATTACTTTCATTTTAGAGATTCACTCTATAGACAATATGAACAGACTGAATAGAGGTTAACAAAATAAATGATTATTCGATGCTTTAGTAGTTTACAGTACGGACAATGTACATTGCAACACAAACATCAATTCTTATATTTGTAATTAAATTATATTTCTACTAACATTAAGCCTTTAAATGAAATCGTCGCAATGATACAGAAGCGCACGCTTACTAAGAGCCTGTGAAAAACATATTACTAACATATTACACTGTGATTAGTAATAAACCGGGTCACATACTGCGTTTCATTACATTCGGATTTCAGTTCTCGAGCTGTTAATGTCCATAACCTCTGTAAATCTCACACCAGGCAAAAAATTAAGTATTTGATTTTCAATATTCCACATCCTCAGTCGAAATGGCCTTTCGGGGAGATCGCCTTAATCCGCGGAATTAAAAAAACAACAGTTTAAATCCACGGAACAGTTTAAAAGTATTCCTGTAACACTCTCTTCTGCGCATCCTCTGTTTGTTCTTTTGTGTTTGTGTGGCAAACTTGAAAACGCTTTATTGCATTACTGCCACCTATTGGACATTTCTGGTAACACACACACACACACATGCTGCATATAGGTACCGTATATAACCTTTTTTTATTCCAAGTCTGCAAACTTTAGTAATCCGCCCACTTCATGCTTCAAAATCTAGTCATTCGTTTTCGAAATTAAACTTTTTTGGCATTGTGTGAGATGTAGGCTACTAGTAAAAAGAATTCCTTGGAACCTTGGAAATGTTAGTTACAAATTAAATTCTTGTTCTACTTTTTTTGTTGACAGCTGCTTACTACTACTATACAAGAATGTCAGTTTTGTCTAGTTGAATGCTGTTGTTTATCACTTTTAGATACAGATATCAACAGCAGGTAAACGTTTGCTGAGATAAGTCAATACACAGACAGTATTATTAGTACACAGAAAAATAATATGCACAATTGCATGGATACAATACTTTTATTTTTATAGCAATATGTTACATGTAAACAGAAAAATTCACATTTGCATGCCCATTTAATACATATAAAGCAATATGCAGGGAAAACAAAATTGCCACAAAATGACATCCAGGTAAGCTCTATATATGCATCTCATTCAAGAAAACTACCGTAAAATAACATACCATATTCATAATCAGTGTTGGGGGTAACTCATTACAAGTAATGCGAGTTACGTAATCAGATTACTTTTGTCAAGTAACTAGTAAAGTAACGCATTACTTTTTTAATTTACAAGAAAATATCTGTTACTTTTTCAAAAAAGTAATGCGTTACTTTGTTTTCCCATTTATTGACTGACAGCTCTCCTGTCAATATTGTAATGCATTACTTTTAAAAGTAACTTTCCCCAACACTGTTCATTATACTGTATATGCTATAATTGCTTCCCATAAGAAGGCAGAATGCAAATGTGAAGTACGCATTTACATGCCCTAATAATATGCTCATGCAGGGTATAATACAAACATATAAAGACAATACACAGAGGTTATATTTGTTTATATAAACCCTCACCAACAAAAATAAATAAATAAATAAATAGAAAATCATGATTCAGAACCACAATAGCAAAGTCACAGCAGAAGGCTTTACTTTGAGAATCAGTTCACACAAAAATGAAAACGAATTGACAAGCTAAAGTTGACACCATTTGTCTTAATGATGAACTGCAGTCTTGGGTTTAATCGTACAGAGTACACAAGAACATAGTGAGTTTAGGAAATTTTGCTTGTCTTTTATTTGTGGGATTTGAGAATTCTCCTCTGCCCTATGATCCTGATAAATCCTTCTAAAATCCCAAATGCAGGGTAGAGGGGTTCAGTGAAAGTGGTCTGGACTCTGTGTAGTAGAGTCATTGTGTCAGAGACGCTGTAGAAGGACAGAGTTCCTGCTCTGTGATCCAGATACACTCCTATTCTAGAGGAATGGAAAGGAGAGAGATGGACTTGTTTATCATCATGTCTGACATAGAAAACATGATCACAGTGGGTCAGTCTCCAGGACTTGTTATTAAACCCAAGTCTGCAGTCATTACTTTGTCCTTTACGACCAATTCCTCTGTAGGAAACTGCTACAGACCAGTTGTTCCCACTGCACTCAAGCTCCCAGTAACAGCGACCATACAAGCCCTCTCTACACAGGACATTAGGAAAACAGTCAAATTGCTCTGGATGATCATATGATCTCTGGACTTCATATGAAAATGAAGCTTTTCTGTCCTTTTCTGTCAGGATGAGGCATTTGTGTGCAGTGTTTGGATCCAGGCGAATGTCACAGAAATCTAATAAAGATGGAGGGACAAATAAATATTCAAATTAAGTACTGTCCCCTACCAACCCCCTGCTCAAAATTACACATTTAATGATAACCAAAACCTGACACATTTATTTGATGTTTTTCAAAAGATAATTGAAATAGTTAACAGATATTTTTAACAATCATTCAGCAATTCTGTGAGGAATTAATGTATAAAACTCAACTTACACTGCGAAAAATCCTTTGGAGTTTTAGGTTCTGGAGACCCTAAAGAAGACACTAAAGAAGGGGAAAGAAACAATCAAATGGCTAATTTATAGATTCTAAAATATTAGGAATGAATCAACACCTTTTAAACTAAAAACTGTTTTTAAAAAAATACCGTCTTGAGATATTCTGGCTGTTTGCTGTTGACAGACGTCCTCCAAAACCT